AAGCTCAAGAACATATATCAAACGTTCGAGCAAGATCCAAGTGTAATTGCCACGGATTCACGACTAATTGACAACATTACACGTGCACGCATCCCGTTGAACACTCCCTGGGCTGACGTGAACCATGTGTACTGCCTACCAATAAAGCACATTCGATGCTTGTAGTGCTGGACATAAAGAAGTGAATGCTACTTGTATTCAATTCCTCTAGGAAGGCATACAACGATGTCAAGGTCCTTATTAGAATTGAACCATTTATGAAAGTTATCCCACGCCACATAAAAGCTATTGGAATCTGGAAAGATTTGGTTAAATTGAAGGAGAAGCTTGATTTCTCGCTTCAGCAACAGAAAAATGGGTGAGTTTGTGACATCCACATTAAAGGTACCACCATTATTCCTTGGAGTTATATATTAATATTCTGTTGTTTTCTTTTCGGCCATGACTATGGCATATACATGGTGAAATATACTGAATACAGGCTACATAATAATATAAGATCAATGTCGATGAAATTTGATGCGGGTAGAGCACGGCTAGATATAGCATCCTTACTATTTAAACATCGGGAAATTAAAAAGGCCACAAAGAAGGCGCAGCAAACTCGATGAGCAAGTATTGACATAGAGTGACGGTTGAAATGCAATCCGAATATTAAATATGAACATGTAATATATGGGAAATTGGAGTATATTTTGTAGTTATTAATTGGGATTTTACGCTGTTGACTTGGGATGTTAATTAGTTGCATTTAATCAAGTCTTTTATTTGTCAATGTTGTTGTCGGACTTCAAATCATGGTCACAACTTACTATTTCAAGTCACTTGTTACTTTTTCAATAGTCACAACACAAGTCACAGATTATTGTACAATGAATGATAACATATTAGAGCCCCGGTCCGAATTTTATTAATGTTCAAATGTTATATTTAAATGGTCACAGTGCAGGTCACATATTATTGTGTAATATTAGTAACGGTTACAGATTATGACTTTAAAGGTCACAGCATAGGTCACAGGGTTTTGTGCATGTCTCAATTTTTTGTTAATGGTCACATATGTTAATTTTAAATGTTCACGGCATAAGTGACAGGGTTTTGTACACGTCTCAGATTTTTTCAATGGTCACAGGTTAATTTGAAATAGTCACGGCACAAGTCACATGTTTTTGTATAATGAGCAAACCAAATGTCACCGGTAGGTTTTCAAATGGTCACCATATGCAATAGTTGTTCAATGGTCACAACATTTGTAACAAAACGAATGAAAAAATAAACAAATATGTTGTCAAAATGAATGAATATATTTGTTTTTTAAGTCATTACATACGAAAATTGATAGAAAAAAGAATCAATTCATCGAATTGTGGTTACTGTCTATCATCGTTTGACTTCATTTTCGTTCCTTTGTTTTTCGATTGGCTTTGACTTAACGGAACCAAGCTAGTACAAGTTCCGCGGTTGTGACTACTTTCACCACATCGTTCGCATTTGATAGTTATGCTTACTTCACATGCTGACCTGAATCTCTTCTCGGTAGGTCTTCCACAACTTCTTTTTTATTAGGTACTAATGCAACACTGTCCCGTAATTCTTTGGGCATTATCCATTCATTTGGATTTCCAACAGGGAAAATGCTTCCTTGATAAGTATTCCGGTATATTTCTCTTGTGTAATAGTATGAACAGAACTCATATGGTTTCATCTTCATACTTGAAATGACAGTCAATATATGTGGACAATGTAGTTTATCAACTTGAAGCATCCCACAGGTGCAAAAACGTTGTTCTATATCAATAACGAAAGATGTATTTTCACAAGTAACTGAAAATGTTGCCTCATTTACAGGATAAACCTGCAATTAACAATCAAAGTTATGTAAATAACAAGTCACAAAAACAAAGATAAAGATGTATTAGGTCACATGTCACAAATATGAAGTTCAGGTCACAAACATAGAGATTACCCTCAAGCTTCTCATATCTGTATTCATTTTCCTTAACTGCTTCTCGTACTTACTTGACAATGTTGTAAAAGTGCTTTGCGCAATCTGCCTATGTTTGCAGAACCAAGATTGTGTAGTTTCACTCAGTGACTCCAACAAAGCTATGATAGGGTAGTTCTTAACAGACTTTGTGACCGCATTAACTGACTCTATTATATTCGATGTCATTGTGGAATATCTGTTTGTGGGTATGCAAAATCGTGACCATTTCTTATGTCCAACACCATCCTACAATTAAAAACATGACGAGGCTAGTCACATTCTTTACAATAGTACGATACATGTATATGAATGTAGATTGAAGATAAAATGTATTATATTTACCAAGTAACCCATGATCTTCTTATTAATTGTGTCGAGTTGTTGCATGTCATATTCGTATTCCGATAAGATGTAAGGGCGAACTGCTGAGTCGAATACTTGCGTTATGTTGTGACCCGATCTTCCATAGCGTGATTTCAGATTTTGTAGGAGATGATATTAACAGATCTCATGATGTTCCAGGATATACATTTTCAATTGCGTTTTTGATACTATTGTGATAATCCGATATAAAACACAACCCTTCTCTATCCCCATATGCCTTCCTCAAGTTTTCAAAAAATCACGACCAAAATCTGTCATTCTCATTATCATCAATCCCGAAAGCAAGTATGAATATATTGTTATTTGCATCATGTGCACATGTCGTGAATAGAGTCCTACCATAATGTCTATTTAGATACTTGTCATCGACCACAACAACAGACCTACAATGTTTTCATCCCTGAATTGATGCGTTGAATGCCATGAAGCAATATGTGAACCTATTGTGACCATCAAGCTGTATTCCTGTGACGCTCCCAGGATTTGTTTGTTGCAACGTGGAAAAGAATCTCGGGATCTGACTAAATGAATATGTCGGGTTACCTCTAATCATTTTCAAAGTTTCCTCACGAGATATCCAAGCCTTCACATAGTTCAAAGATATTCCATATGTATGCAACATGTCATTACGCATATCATTTGAAGTGTATGTGGTGCACGATGATGTGAATTTGTATTTGATGAAAGATGACACAACTAACTTTGTGACTTGCCTATGAGTACCTAATACAATGTTTGAAGCACATGCGTGACGTTCTACAATGTGTCTAATTTTAAACATCTATGTTCTAGCTAGCTTTGATGCTCTACATATCCGATCATACTCATCATGATTACACTTCACAAGGTAGTCTTTCTTGTCTGAACGAACAACTACAAATTCAAACATGTTTTGGATTGTACATAAAGACAAGCTCAGCTTCAGAATCTCCTTGTTACGGAAAACCACTTCTTTCTCTACTTCTCTAGAGTCAGCTGTTGATACAATCGTGATCACATGTTTGAAATCGTGACATGATAGTTGTATTATTAATCCACATATATCTGTCGACATATCTAGTAACGAGAATTCCTTTTCATTTGATTGTACACAAATTGGTAATGTGATACGCTGTTTGACGCATTCTGCAACTGTGACCTCAATTTTAATTGGATACTTGGAAGGGTCCTGATGCGTATTCTTCAACACCATGTATGACAACACATTATTGTCATTCTTGATTGTGACCGGAGGCAGATCGCTAACCAACTCATAACTCATTGTGACTGCGACCTTAGTAAGATCCAACCCAAACTCTGTCATAATTGTATCTAGAAGCTTCGTATACTCGCAGTTACGATCGATCAACACCAATGATAGATGTGATTCATTCATCAAACAAACGTGATTGTTTTCCATTTCTGCAAAAGAAATCAACTTAAATAGTATCCGTGAATAATAAAATTCTAAGTAACAACGAAAACACGTCACACTTTATTAATCATGGTCACATGTTGTATATCTGTATGTCACATTTTTATATTTAATTACACAACATGAACGCTAGCTATCACAGACTTGTTGCAGATTTCGAAGTACATGTGTGCCTAGGTTGCTGACATAATTCTGATTCAGAATAAAAGTATGTCACAGCTTTTAAAATTGCAGGTCATATATTATGAATTCAACCTAAACACTAATGGTCACAGACATATTAGAAGATTCGAAGCACATGAGTGATTAGGCTAGTGACCTCGATCTAAGCTAGAACAAAAGCACGACGCGATTTTTTTAAAACGTAGGTCACATATTATGATTTCAGTTTTTTTCATGAAGCGAACACGATTACAGATTAATGCTAATAGTTACAACATTATCACCGTCAGTTGTTTTATTAATGTCAAATTGTCAATTCACGGAATTCCAATGTCATAAATTCACCTATTAACAAGAACATCGTGACATTACACGAACATGCAATTAATTGATTTAGAATGACATACCCGTTTTATACGAGTCTACTGATTTAGAAGATGATTGACGTAGTGAATTTTTTTTCATGAATTATCCGATTTCTTGGTGGATATAATCTCAATGCATTCTTCGAATAGTGACTTGAAATTTCCGATTAACGTCGCTTTTCTGAGACTGCTGGTGGCTTTAGAAAGGCAATTTCAGATCTCTGTGGCGTTTAATCATCGGCTGCGTAACGTATTGTATTTTGGGGAGGTGAATTTTTTAGAACAGAAAATTCGGCATTGATGATAAGTCACGCCTTTTTTTTAGGAACCTGATATATATATGTATGTATATGTCAAATATCTGATTTTAGAAATTTGAAAGTTATTTTCTTATTTTTGAAATAATACGTTATAAAAATCTGACAAATGAATTTTTTACTTGTGATATTTCGACCATGTAGTCCAAACTTTTATGCACCAGTTTATATTTTGATATTTAATGGTGGTATTTATCCCTTTAACGTCGTAAGTTTGTACTACCTCAAAATAATCAATCCTTATCCAACTTCCATAGCCACCATTTTTCCTCCATAGCCACCACTTTCTTACCTGTACTTTCTCTCTGCATATACCTATTGATAGAGTTTTTTGTATCTATATTTCATTTCAGTGGTGGGTTCATCGAATAATGGCATCGATATGCCCTCCAACGTTTCCATCGGGGCGTACGGATCCTAACCCTCACTGGCATAATTTCACCAACTCCAAATTCTCCACTTATAAATTGAATAAAAGATGGTCGCAAGCGACTTTCAACTCGCCTACTCTGAATAGGGTTTCGGATTTGAGTCGTTGTTGCCGCTGCCACAAGAATAACAATGGGAATTCGGAGTCGGGTTCGGAGAAGAAATCTGAGTCGGATTGGTGGTGGGACATCGATATTCAGGAGACTTTTAGGAGTGCGATTAAGAAGTTTGATGAGTATTTGAATTCGTGGGGTCGGAGATGGGAAAGTTTTGGCGTGGCTGAAGTGAAGAATGGAGTTGAGGAGGAAAATGAAGAGTGGGATTGGGAGCGGTGGAGGAAGCATTTTGCAGAGGTTGATGAGCAAGAGCGTATTGTCTCGGTTTTGAAGGTATCATTTTCTCCTTCAGTTTTAATTAACTTTAAAGGCAAATATGCTGGAGAAATACTGAACTTGATAATATTTAGATGGTTTCATCATGGAATTTACTCTCTGAGACTAATCCAATGGAAAAAGAAGATTTTTTCTAGATATTGGGATACCATGCATGAGTGTTGGAAATTAATTGTTCGTATTAGAGGGCTATCTCATGGGAATAAAAATGTAAATGGAAGTATCAATATGAAGAAAATTATGGAAGCATGCAACATTAGTCAACCATAGACCCCCCAGTTCATAGGATTGGTGAAGGAAATATTGTTGTTCGTTGCTCTAGTAAGTAGAATGCTTGGAAGCGATCATAGAAATAATTTATTTGTTATTGTAAGTATGGATAATATACACTTAGTTATAGAGAGAAATCTTGAAACAAGAATTACATCCTGTTGCTCATACCAGGTGGTTGATAATTTAATATGTTTTTTTCACAAGTATGGATAATATAAACTGTGCAATAGAGAGAAATCTTGACGTGAGAGTTACATTGTGTTGTTCACATCAGGTTGGTTGATGGGCCCTATGATCCTGCCTGAAATGGCTCAACCTCGTTATTCAGGGTTTAGGTGTCACTATGCTCACTATAAATTTAGTCAGTCTCACACTGTCATCCCAGTGATATGTCACGTGTGGACTCAAAGTCTAATTATTATTGTTTTGTTAGCTACTGGCTGTGTTCAATTGAACTCATGAAGAGGAGATGTTACGTATCTTTTTCATGAAGAAAGGCCGAAAAAAAAAAAAAAAGATTCTTCGAGGAAGAGTTGTTTCAAATTTAAATGAAAGCATAAATTCACTTGAGGCAATGAGATAAATACATTATTAGTCATGACTCGGAGTGTTTTCACCTCACAATCATAATCTATTCCAAGGAACCATAGTGATGGGTAAGTTATTGTGAAAATATGAAATTCATTTTTCCCAATAATTTTTTTTGACTATACTGTATCATCTCTCTGGGAAATTTGTTACCAATAATTTGTTGTTAAATCTCCATTCGTCCAAAATTTAAATTTTTCTTATTTTTGTATATTCGCAAATAATGGCTTCTTACAGACATAGATACTCCCTCTGAATAAAGTTGAACGATTAGATTGGCTTTCATGGGCAAGTGGATTTTCAGATGAAACTTGTATGGCAAGGAAATACACTTTGAGAACTATCATTTTTAAAACTAAAAGGAAAAGGGATCGACTCAAAATGTGCCCCCAAAAGGATCTCGAGCTTTAGTTTTACCAATGAAACGAAAAGTTAGAACAAGTGCCCCCAGTTTTCAACTCTTGCCTAAAACTTCGTGCTGATGCAAATCAAGAATTCAAGTGGAAGAACTATATACTCTAAAAGTTCTGTTATCATGTTATATCCACGTCGGACGCTACACAACACTTTTAACGTAACCAAGTGAAACAGACAAGACTCTCAACACCTTATGCAAGTCTTCAAGTATTAAATTACCAGTCAGATTCTTTTTCACGTCATTTTTCAACTATAATACACATTCTGTCTTGAAAGTACTTTAGCTTTGTTTCTGTTGTTAAGTTTGTATTCTCAAGCATCTTAATATTAGGTCAATAATTTTGTCGTAGCATGTCCCTGTTCCTGCATCGAAAGTGAAGATACTTTTTGAACGAATCTCGGGTCCGAAGATTTGAAATCCCACATGTTTTATACATAGATCCACACCTTTACCTAATCTAAGTAGTATGTTATGGACTAAGGGGAATACATTTAGGAGAGAACGGAAGATATTATGATATTGGTTTAGTACGAAGGATGTATTGTGAAATAAACATCTTATTTGATTCAGTAGCATATAATTTTTTTCTAAATGGAACACCCTAGCAAGGGTTGGTATTAAAGCACATATTTATCTCTCGGCGTTTTATTTATTTTTTCTATTAAATATTTGCTTCTCAAAATCAGTAGGAGCTTGGCTCTAAATTGAGTGGGTAGGTGCTTGCCCAATGGGTACCTAAGTACCTTGGCTCGCACCAAGCATTTAGCGCATGCATAAATATATCTCTGTCTACTAGAATTTAAACCAAACTTTTTTTTTTTTTGAGAGCCAGAGGTTTTGCATTGTACAATAAGACACTTCTATTTTATTAGAAGTCCCTTTGGGCCCTATAGATACAATCCGAAATTACACCAGAGATTTTTTCTTTAGAGTTTTAAGCCTCATGCTGATGTTTGCTGTAGTGCTTCATGCGTAAACAAATAATTGGAGCTGAGTGAAGCTGTTCCCTTTTATCAAATCAAATGTTGTTTACAAAACGCTAGTTTTTATCCTTTTACTGATTACAACAATAACATGGTTTGCCTTAACAGTCACAGTTGGCTCGTGCTATTGATAGAGAGGATTATGGAGATGCTGCTAGGCTTAAGGTGGCAATCGCAGCTGCAGCAACAAATGATACTGTTGGCAGAGTAATGTCCCATCTGAAGGTGGGACTTATCCATCGTTGTTTATAATAATGTTCAAGTATCTATCTTGTTATTTTGTTTTTGTCTGTTTACGTTCTTTTTGTATCCTTTAATATGCTTACCATTTTGGAACTGAAGTGCAGAAAGCTGTTCAGGAAGAACGTTATGGTGATGCAGCTCTTGTACGTGATTATGCTGGTACTGGATTGGTGAGTCAGTCATACTTTTTTAGGACAATGCTGATGTACTCACCAAGACGTTCACATATCTTTGTGAATACTCATAAGTTACTAGTACTTGAATTTATATTTATCTTATGTAGATGCTTCTTGTCACACACATGATATTAATTGTGAAATATAAACCATCTTATTATAGGACGCATGGTAATATTCGTTATGCACTTTGATTTGAGTTCCTCTCTGAAAACCTTGTTTGGATCTTGAAGTAGCATTTTGGACTTTGATGTGATTTTATTGACAAGTGAACTACAATGATGAATTCTTTTATAAGCACATTTCCCTATATGAAGTATTTCCTAGATTTGCACTCCAAGTTTCAAGTGTTGTCTCCCAGTGCTTATACAAAAAACGCAGCCAAGTAAATTAGAGGAGACACTGAAGGATAAACTCAAGGGGTGGCCGGCAGACATGCTTCAAAATCTGTTGCATTCTATAGTTATATTGTAGCATATTATATATCTGTCTGAAATTTATGATTTTATCTGAACTTGGTATTTCAGGTTGGATGGTGGGCTGGAATTTCAGAAGACAGTAATGAACCTTATGGTCGTATTATTCATATAAGTGCGGAGCACGGGCGATATGTAGCCAGAAGTTTTAGTCCTAGGTAAAGTAACTCGTCCTGTTGAAAGTTTTAGGTTTGAGTTTGCAGTTCTTTGGAGGAATCAGTATGTTACCATTTTGATCAATTTGGAAAGATTCTCTAATGAAACAAAATTTCTACACACAAATGAATTGCTATAATTTGACATTCGATCACTGGTATCGCATTAATAATTGTTAATCTAAGTAGATTATACTAGTAACTAGTTTGTAGATATCCCTTTTTCCTATAAACGTCCTCTTATTCTTTTTCTTTGTGTCTCGTGTGGCTTTGTTTGGTGGTAATATTAGCCTCACATTGCAATCCTCTTTTCCTTATTTGCCTATGCACACTGGAATTTGGGAACTTGATAATTTTTTGGCTGCTATTTTTCACTTAACATTGTTTTCCCAGTGGGCTCTGTTCGGGCATCAGGAGACTGTAGGCTTGTTATTTCGATCAGAAGGTTGATATAACAACGGATTCCATTTTTTCGTATATCAGATTTTTTTATCATTTGTGTTCCTGGAGGAACTTAGGAGACTTTATACATAGATCATTATTGCCATCCTTACATCTATGTATCTTGAGCATTTGAGTTCATATCAAGAAGAATCATGCATTGTACTTGAGTCAGGCAATATAGTGATTGAATCTATGTATATAAATCTATATATATCGTGAGTCATACTTGTATGAATTTTGACAACCGTGGATTGTTCGAAATAAAAGGCCAACCAGGAGTTTTCAATCATTTCATACAAGGAGTTGGATGCCTTTCTGTCTACCTAAGTTTCAACGCTTTTAGTAACTCTTAAGATTCATTAGTAGCTTAATGTCTTGCTTTATTGGCAGGCAGCTTGCCACAGCATCAGATGGTGCCCCCCTGTTTGAGATATTTCTTACAAGAAATAATAAAGGCGAGTATAAGCAGCAGGTGCTATTCTTTACTCTCTGAAGTCTACTACTGGCTTAATTCCTTATTTTATTGGATGGAAAACCAATTCATGAATAGAAGGGAAGACATTCTCTGCTTTTAATAGGATTTTGCATTTAAAAAATTGTCAGTTGGATTCAATGAGTGTGCAATAGCATGGTGAACCCCACTGCCCAACCAAACCACAAAAAAATGGGAAAAGAAAAAGAAAGAAAAGAAACACCCTACCCACTGACCTAAACCTTGCAGAGCACAGTTTACCATCATTACTTGAGCTCATAAGGACTCTATATCTTTGAGTATATGTTTCAGTGTCAATTAGAAATAAATAACATAAAAACCTTGTTAAGTAGTATTAATCAAAATGGATATACGAGGATATGCGTGTGTTCAGGAGGAATAATTGTTTGATAATGTGCATTTGTAGACAAAGTAGTGCATGATAGACTTGTGTGCTTTCCTGGTTAATGACATCTGTGTTTGAAATTCATTACTTGAAAATCACTTCCCCCCCCCCCCCTCCCCCGCCCCCCCTCCCTCATTTTCAACCACATCTCCCCCAAAAAAAACTCCCATAACTTTTGCCTACTTTTTAACCTCACATTCTTCCAAAAAAAAAAAAATATCAATTTAAATACCCACTTTCACACAAGCACTTAATATTCATCCAGAAAATTCTCTATGTGCTACTGTGCCTACTGCCTAGTAGGAAATAGGTACACTGTTTTAAAATGATGTTTTTGTTATGGTCTATTCCATTTTCCCATCTGGCATTACATGGACTTATGAGCATCAAAATACTTGTTCTGATATATCAAGAAGCATGCATGACCCCATTACCTGCAGACTTCGTTATGTATAATGGTTGATTTCTTGAATGAAACATCTGAAAAATTAGTGTATTTTCAGGCTGTGTACTTAAAACGGAGAGGAGCTCAGCAGAATCCCTCAATTCCATCTTTCATGTCATCAGGAGTTTCCAGTAATGTGGATTCTCAGGATGCAACTGAAAACAAAAATGGGCTGTTGGATAAAAACACTAAAAACACAGAAGATGGTGATGAAAGTGATGATGATTCGGGTTTTGAGAATGTCTTGCGGGACATGATTCCTGGTGTGAAAGTCAAGGTTGTGCAAGTAACAACACCAATAAAGGTGGACAGGGATCTAATATCAAAGGCGATTGAACAGATAATAGATGAAGAAGAGGAAGAGGAAGAAAAGGACTTCGATTTAGAAAATGTAGATGCTGAAGATGAAATCAAAGGTGAAACTGATGACGAGCAAAATGATATTGACATTGACGCTGGTAATGGAATTAATGATGGTGAAGAGCAAAGTCAAATTTCAGTTAAGGTGGTTGTGGGTGAGGGTCTCATACAGAAATTTTCCAGTGGTGCACACCATAAAGACTTAGTTCGGGTACCTGCCAGGCTACGGAAAAAAGGTCGGTTGTCATTTACTTTTACCGTTGAGGAAGATGATGATAAACATATTTCTAGCGGTGATGGGCAGTCTTCATTGAATAAAAATGCTAAGCTTCAAGGTCAACGTAGTATGGACCTTGTTATGCTTGATCTTGTCAAGTCCATCAGCAAGGGAAAGATACCCATGAAGGTTAGGTTGGTTGATTGTAGAATTGAATTCAATTTACTGTAATCATATTGTCCAGGCTTTCAAGTCATAGTTGTATGCCTCAATTCTGCAGGTGCTTAAAGATGTTGGTGAATTAATAAATCTCACTATCAGTCAGTCTCGAAATCGTCAGCCACTTTCTGGGTCAACCACATTTAACCGCATTGACATTTCAGCATCTCCAGACCCACTGAATGGTGATTGTATCTTCGTTTCTCTGTCTTCTTACTCTTACCGTTCTACTCTTGATTATGTGGTGGTGTTCTGCACTTGCTTGCGCTGTTTTCATTATATTGTTTATTTTGCTACTTACTATCTATTTATTTAGAATGCCTTATTTTACTAGGACTCTATATTGGTGCACATGGGCTTTACACTTCAGAAGTTATTCATCTTAGACGCAGATTTGGTCAATGGAAGGATGATGGTAGCTCAAAGAAGCCATCAAAAGTTGAGTTCTATGAGTACGTTGAAGCTGTGAAATTAACTGGAGATCCTTATGTACCAGCTGGCCAGGTGATTTATGATTCAAATCTTTTACATATGCTGAAGTTATTTATCTGTAGAGCTTGATAAACAGAAGTTAGGATAAGCTGAAGAATTGATTATCCTGAATGGGCTTGGAGCATAAAAATGTTAGCCAAGTATATGGGATTTATAATCTTGGAAGTCGTGGTGTCAGAACACAGAAGTCTGCACATAGTTTATTTTGGATTTTATTAGTAGAAAAACTGCATAAATGGTATTCAGTGATTTCTTGCTACAACTATTAAGTGGCCAATTGGCTAAATTATTGTTTTGCTGGTAGATAAAGTTTCAAATTACCAAGGCAGGAATCTGAAAGGAAAGCACCTAAAATATTATCTAACTACTCTTTTCAATGTCAATATTTTTGCCTTTTATGCTCACTGGAAGATGTAAATTGGACGTATTCAATTGATGGCTGGAGCATTTTCAATTTCAGTTGTTACACATGGAGTGGATTATTTTAGTTATCAGTCTTGCTTCCAGTTAATGACTGTCTTAACTAAGGCCTGTTGGAGAGATGCTTGACTACACTGTAAACATTTTTAGCTACATGATGACGTGATAATCCTTGTTTAATATTAATTTCACCATACATTCAGCCCCTGTTTGATATCCATTATTGGAGGAAAATAGAGTTTTGAATAGTGATTTTGATGAGAATGTGTGATTAAAAAGTAGGGTAAAGTTTTGGGTTTACGTGCAGCATATTTTATTGTGTGAATGTGCGGTTGAAAATGAGTACGTAGAAAAAAAGTTTGAAAATAATAGTTGTCAAATAGGGGCTCAGAGAGAATGCTTGTGTAACCTTGGATACTCTATTCACCTGTCATTGGTTCTCATCCCTAAATAAGACATCCAAGTGCTATTATTTCCCACTGCAGGGGTAGTTTTTTTAATTTTATCCCCCGCTGTGAATGAGTTGGATCAAAGAAGTTGACATATTGATTTACTAAAACATATATAGCCCCCGTTTGGTACACAATTTGAATGTAAGAATGCATTTTTACTGTAGATATGATGGGGAATATGTGGTTGAAAAAGAAGGAAAAGTTATTGATGTGATGGAAAATATTATTTTATTGAAGAATATGGGGTTGAAAATGAGTAAAAGAATGAGAATGAAAAAAATAATGTGGACCAAACAGGGCCATAGTATAGTAATATTTATTTTTTCTTGAAATGTTCCAAGTATTTAATCAAGATGCACAGGCCAGTATCGTCTATCTTTTTTTATGTTACGTCTTTATAGCGAATTCAATAGGGACTTTGTTTAAAGTAGGATGTTTGGTTATATGGATTGGACATTTGATCTTTTAGATGAATTGTTGAATTGATTTTTGTTTTTCTCAAGAATCTATCCCCGAAAAAGAAAAAAGAAAAGAAAGGTTTCTTCCATTTCCCCCTTTCTTTCCTTATTTTTCTACTATTTTCTCTCTTATACTTCTTTAGTGCTGCATCAAGCCTTCAACTTTAATAGAGGTCCATGTTTTCAAACCATCTTGCTATGTATGTATTAGGGCAAAACTAGGTTTGTACCATTAGATGTTTCCTTTTCTTCAATTACTTTTGCCTTTTTTGGCTGGGTTTGGGGATGTGAATAATGTTCCATCTCGAAAGTATGTCTACTTTCCCTTTTTTCTTGTATTAATGTTTTATTTAAAAATTATCATCATTACAGATAGCATTTCGTGCAAAAGTTGGCAAGAGATATCAGCTTCCTCATAAAGGGATTATTCCAGAAGAATTTGGGGTGGTATGTTGCTTAATCATTCAGTTCAACTCATTTTAACATCTATTTCATTCAGTTTCCATATCAGCCTTACTTTCTAAGTTATATTTGCAATGCAGGTTGCTCGATATAGGGGACAGGGGAGGCTGGCTGAGCCTGGATTTCAGAATCCTCGATGGGTTGATGGCGAACTTGTTATCCTGGATGGGAAGGTTTATATTTCTCTAAACTACTTGACAGTTATTGTTGCATGGTTTTGATTTCTTAAGAGTATTCTAAATAGCTTGTTTCAGATTTTCTAACTTTATCTTCAAACAACGTGCAGTACATCAAAGGTGGACCAGTTGTTGGCTTTGTTTATTGGGCCCCTGAATATCATTTTTTGGTGTTCTTCAATCGGTTAAGATTGCAGAATTGAGTTCCTTCTGCCATAAGTTCGAGATTGTTATTCTTTGCCCACTTCTGGTTAGGTGAGCTCTCTTTTACTAGTGAAATGATTGCCATTCCGTTGTCTTCCATGGTGGATGTTTTGAAGTATCTGGAAATGTTACTTGTTACTTCATTTCATGGCCATGTATACAAGTATGATATCATTGCCCTGGAGTTTTGGCGACCAATTGGGTAGGCACATGATGTGTTGAAGTTTCTGGAAAGCAAATAAAGCATTGCTTTCAATATCTATATTTTACTCGTACTGGCCAATCATCATATATTCACGTTTCATTCCAAATTGAACCACTTTAAGAGGAACTTCAACCTGGTTGAAATGGAATTGCTAGGTTTACCCTTTGCTCTGTCTTTCTCATCCAAACTACGAAAATGACGGGTTTACCAAAGTGCTGTAGTGTTGTGAATAATACCTTGTAGTTTTGGCTTTTCTCTGTAGCTGACTCAAACATAGTGAGGCTCAGATTGGCTTCTTGGTATATCTTATTCTAGTCCAAGTATTAGATTAAGACTGTTGCGGAACCTTATTGCTATCATATTTTTTGAATTTATATTTGGTGGGTTTTAGGTATAAGCATCATATAAATGGAATTTTGCTTGCCATCACAAACCATCATATGATGCAAATTGAAAAAGAAATCTCCCAACTAAATTATGTTTCACCTGTAACCATTTGGTGTTTTCGTATGCAGTCTGAATCAATGAATACCCTGTATTTTGGTGTTTGTATGTTCTTGAATAATAAGCACAAATGGTTTATTCGGAAGAGTTGATCTTATTTTTTTATTTTATTTTTGTACAGGCATTATGCTCATATAGCCATATTGATGGTCTCTGGTTACTTTTGCAGTTTAGGTTGTACTTGTTACGGTGGAATCCTTCTGGGTGAAGAGCAGTCGAGGAGCTGAAAAATTGCGGCTTTTGTAACTCTCTTTCACACTGTAGTGAGCATGATTTGTATTCGATGAAAATAACCACCAAAAGTTTAAGATGTAATGGTTAATGGCTTTCCATTTATGCTGGTTTAGCAGCAAATATTGAAGCTGCCCTCCTCTATTGTAAGAGGGATTTTCATTTTTCCCCCAGTGTATATATCTTTTGCTGTAGTACGTCCATATTTCTTTATAAATTGTTGTTCATACACCCTTTGCAACTAAAAATACTGAAGAAATATTGTGATGATTATGAGGTGGCCTTTAAGGGCATTTTGGCATGTATAATTAGATGAGACTCTTGAGTATTTACAGTACGCTTTAGTAAACGAACTTTTTTCATTTAGCAAGCCATAGGATCTCTGGACGGTCACGTATTACTATGGCAAGAATTTCTTATTAATTTCATAAATATCTGCTCTAGTTGTACTATGATGATTTGTTTAGTAGTGGTTTTATGTACTCTGTTTTAAGAAAAAAAAGAGGGAAAATCAAACTTTAATATTTAATAATAAGCCAAGTTCACAAAAAGGTTAAAAACACACATTTGAGACAATGCAACAGACCTTCCCAAAACCAGATAGTTTGAACGCGTGGTACAGCAAATTACATGGCAACAGTGCTAAGATGAAACCAGGTCAATTATGTTTTCCATAATACCTCAAAGGTGAAACAATGTCTTTCCAAACCCAACTGTGGCAAATTATCAACTCTTTGCAACTGCATCACTTGATGCTGCTTCTGGTGTGGGTTTGAGAATGATTTCGACATTGTCATGAACTCCTTGTAACAGGAGTTCCCCTTCATATGTCAAGACTTTACGCCTCTTAGCTGCCCGCAATGTTCCAACCAGTGCTTCAAAGATGTTTGCACATCTGTCATCGTTAAACAGCACGCCGAATGTAACCTTCAAATCAAAAACAGTGTAGAGGTGACATCAACTTTATACACTTAAATTTCTCTAATTAAGAAAAATGAAAGAATTTGTACATCTTCATGCAAGAAGATGGAAGATTTCATGTAGCAAAGACTAATAAAATCGTGCACTAGCATTCTATTACTGCTAACAAACGAGTCACAAGATTATTAGTTATAAACATTGTAAGAACCAAGGTGAAATAATACTTCTCGTAGAACATTACTCAATCATCAGGATCAAACATTCATTATATCCGTCTCTAGCGTAATGGGCCAAATTTCAAATAATTATTCCTCTCAGATCTAATATTATATTTTGTTTTTAAAGCAACAAGGTTCAGTAAAAAAAGAAAGAAGACAGTTACAGCCATTTACATGTAAAACAAGTTGGAAGCCATCACTTATGAAAAATGTAATTCACATTGTATTGCATGATGCATTTTCTCTGCCCTGGTGCTGTCCTATATCTCGTCATGCCAAAATAGGTTATCAAGAAACGACACTGCTGAACAATACGCCTTAATATTGGACATGACCAAATTATTCATGTAGTGTATGTTTGGTAAAAGTTACTAGACCAGAATGTCAAGTACAATAGATAATATTTTAGCTTCTTTGTCTTCTTTACTATTGTCCTCTAATCTATAATACACCTTACCAAACGAGCCAATAATGTATTTCTCTCTCTGCACATTCGACTCCCCATCCTAAGCAACAATGATTTATTACAAATCTCCACACTATGATACCAACATTTGATCACTCAATATTAGTTCATTCAGTGTATGCCTTTGTTGTGATCCATGATTTTGACGTGGCTAATTTAAAACATTCGATTCTCCAAGAAATACTTTTACTAGCTCAAATACTTGTCATATAATAGATATTTGTGTAAATAAGTGATAAAGCAGAAAATATACAACTTAGGCAGGAATGCAGTTCCCTTAGTTCAAGCAAACTATGCTTCCAAGAGACATCAACACAGTAACAACTTCTCTAGATATGTAATAATTCAAAGGAAGAATTGCACCCACGGTACCAAACCTTTCATTTAGTAACAGATTTGACCCAAACTTTTCATTTGGATCACACACGGTACCAAACCTTTTAAAAAATTTCACTTGGAGTCCAAATGGATGTTTTTCATTAGTTCCTCTGTTAGTTGATTAAAGGTCAACTAACAGACCAAATGTTGACTAATTTTTAAAGGGTAAAATTGTAAATAAACAATTTTTCATGTATTATAATTAAAATAATTAAACAATTAACAAAAAAGATCAAAAACAACCCACCCACCCCCAACCCAGCCCTTTTTTCCTCATCCCCATACAATCCCCTTACCCCAAACTTGTTGTCGCCGTCGCCATCCAATAAAGGGAGAATAAGAGTGTGACGGAAACCATCCAGTTGGACTCCCAAGTGAGAATTTCTAAAATGTTTGGTACCATGGGTGACACAAATGAAAGATTTGGGTCAAGTCTGCTGCTAAATGAAATATATGGTACCGTGGCTGAAATTCTCCCTAATTCAAATCAACCAAAATTTTCAAAATTTCCTTTTCATTTAGGGTGTGTTTGATAGGGAGCCAATTCTATGGAAAATGGAATTTCCCACTTTTTCTTTGTTTGATAGGGTTTTTTCTAGGCAAATGCTTTTCCCACTTTTCCTTACACACACACACATTTTCTTGCTTTTCCTTGAAATCATTTTCCCACCAAAGTGGTGGGAAAATGGTTTTCCAGGTTTTTTATTTTTATTTTTATTTTTGACAATTAGAAAAAATTCTAAATACAATGGTAAAAAAATTTATCACTTCTATTGACAATTTCTATGCAAACAAAGCTAAACAAATGATATTCGGTATAGTAAATAAAATTTGAATTTTTTTTTTATTTTTTGGCAATTGGAACAAATTCTAGACCCAATGGTAGAAAAAATTATCATTTTAATGAACAATGTTCATGAAAAATAAAGTCAAACGGATACCAAACTTTCAACATTTTCCAGGTGGAAAATTATGCCAATCAAATACAATTAATTACACCTCCCAATAAAATAATTTCTAGGCAATTCAATTCTCTGGAATTCTTTTTATTTCCACCCATTTTCTAACTTTGCAATCAAACGGACCCTTATATTTTTCTGAACAAGAAATCGTCATTACTGCATATGGATCTTTTCAACAAAAAGAACTATTCCTCCATGTATTTATATTACTCTTCACATCATTAACTCCCTTGTACAAAATCATCAATAACAAAAACGGGTAACCGTATAAGCAATTGTTGATAATCTAAGGTGGATGCAATCGAGAAATATCAAAAGGGCATGTTTGATACACAATATTGGATGATAAAAGGGCCAAGATTTTTTACTTATATTCCCCTCAATACCTCTAGTATTGTCTATTCAACCGTAAGAACGCTAATTGTATCCTCTATCTTACGAATTACATGAAGTGCTAGTTTGTGACCAAGATCAGTTCAAGATTTTGAAAATAAAAATAAAAATACATATATATCATACAATATTGAGAACTTCCTCTAGTTGAAATGAATAACTAACGAAGTGCATTCTAGCTCTTCTTCTTCCTCTCACCTTTGTTTACATCGATATTACAATACAAAATTGGAAATCCCGGCAATTAAAAACAAAATACCCAGAAATAAAAATAAATTGGAACTAATGTCATCAACTGGATCAAATTAACACGGGCCTAGATCGAATCAAATGTTACCTGAATTCTTTTTCTAAAGCATTTACAATATCATTAAGAACATAATCTATGCAATCATATGCTGAATGCGATGGGTGAAGGACAAATTGCAGAATTATACCTTGTAAGAGCCATCATCTTGGGGTTTTCCGAGTCGTTTGATTTCCTCTTTGAGTCGCTCCACCTCTTCTTCTACATTCATGATTACTGTTGGATCTGTTTGATTTACTTTCTTTGGAGGTGATAAGATCAAATTTTCCCTTTCACACAGTGAGAAAAGAGGAAACTGTAAAAACGGCTTAAAAAGAAAAGGTAATTACACTACGAGCCCCTACCTTTTCACCAAAATTTTATTTTGGTCACTCATAATCAATTTGATACTTGAGATAGTCGAGCATCAATATGGACTTGTCTAACACATGACACCTATAAAATTTTGATGTGAGACTTACTAAAATAGAAGTTAAGAGCATGATTAAACCACCTAATTTAAAAATTAAGTACAAAATATCATCTTCAATAAACATGTTCCTTTATTCTGATATCAATTTCTAGTTTTCTATGAACGCTTTGTCTAGACTACGAAAAGTTCAAAATCAACCATCTCTTTATAGTTTAAAGTTGGATCCCCAATGATTTTCAATGTCAAAATATCCAACCAGCTAATATGACATAGGAGGAAGAGTTGAGTCAAGGGATTATTTGTGTCAAAAAAGAGCAAACTCCATATGGGATAATGCCATAATGATATTGGGATAAGGAGTAGGACCACTTGAAGAAGACAAAAGACTATACATGCCGCTTTGATACAAAGATGTCTCGTGTGGGTCAATGTTACCCGCTAAGAAAAAAATAAAATAAAATGTTCTTCGAACAAATTTAGGCGTACATTGATTGTGAGAATGAGGGAAACACGCGTACATATCTGCACAATAGTTGCCGGAATGCAATTTTTTTGTGGGAGGGCAGTCGAGTTATTTTCCTACCCTTCATATGAAGGAGCATTATTTCAGTTATGAATTATCTAAATTCACACAGTCGACGTTTCTTATTTTCTTCATATTCTTTATAATTCTAAAAACACGAGGATCATTTGAACAAAACATCGACACACACACAGCTTTATTTTGAGAATTTTTAATATAAGATTAGCAAACTAATGTAGGTTGACACAAAAGTTTAGTATAACCAATAGACACTCCTCTAATCTAATAAATTAGCCGACTAAAACTAAAGAAGTGTATGATTTTATTGAAATATAAAAATAAAGTCTAAAATAGAAACATATTATAAAACCGTAAAATTTGAAGAATTTTATCAATGTATTCCCTACATATCCTCGTACTGCTTTTTTTTTTTTTGGTATCGTGTGGTATCCATTTTCGTCCTTAGGTTCAAAGGATTCGACCATCAAGTCAATCAAAATTGTAGTTCTACACACCGTTATTCCAATTCAATTTTCAATCCACTATAAGTACATCTAAATAAGAATATAGCATCCATTAGCAAAACTGAAAAATGCTCCTGGAATGAAATTAAATTTTAGAACAATTATTTAATTTTGCTGATTATAAATGCTCCGGCTGTGAAAAATATACTTGGATAAAATTACACAGTTTCTCAAACGAATACATGCATAATATAAACTATTAGAAGAACATTAAAAGGCAACAGGCAAAACACCTGAGAAAGACAAAGCAATGGCTCCTATTCACGGGAGCTTCTAAAAGCAATACTGTAATTTTTGTATATAAATATGCATGCGTGTGGGTATGCAAAATACAAAGCTCATGTCACTAGAATACCAACTCTCTATCGCACCTGATCCAAAAGTAGGAGCCACGTCTGGAAAGAAAACAGGATAGAGATTAGAGAGTCGTCAAATCCGCGTGTTCTTGACAAACTTGGTCCAATGCATTCTTCCAATCAGTAAATATCAACAGTAGGATAAAGACCCAGAACTGAATTGCGTTCACCACCACTAGAATCTGGATTCAGCTCCCCAGAATGTGATGACTTGCGGGACTTGGGATTTTTGGGAGAAGCAGTATATGATTCGCTTGAACCACTGGTTGAAGAATAAGAAGACGATGATGGAAGACCATTGATCTTCGGCAGGCCAGTTGGGTCTGTGTTTAAGCTGTAGCCCCTCTCAGTTGTCTCAGCTTCAAGCGGTAACTCATCCAGTGTCTACATACTAGAGAAGTCAGTTACACTGAAACCACTACAACTTTCAAGATATGAAGTAGCTGCTTTAATAATTTTACAGAATGATTTAAGATTAAACAGATCGTATGTTCAAGACAAGATAAACATATGGTATTGCATATCTTCAGTCAATTAAATGCAGTCAACACTGAAATAATTAAAGGTGCACTTGAGGAAAATTCTTAGCGGGAAATCATCCAAAAAGAAGAAAAACCTATGACCAACCATGTTGATTCCCACAGAAAATAACCAGAAAGAACCTAGACGATGACTGTAAATATCTGCCATTTGTATGCTCACTCCATGTATATAGGAACGAATGGCAGAGCCAGAACATTTCTCTTCCATTAAAGATTAGGAATCACTAACTCACCCGGAAAGCTTGCTGCAAAACACGGAGTCTCTCTCGGGTACGCTTTCTCTTCAAGGATACATCATCAGGCTCCTGTAACATCTCTTCGAAAAAGTTTTCTCTGCTCAAACATAACAATAACATAGAAGCATCACTATTTATGTAAACAAGAGATTTCTAGTAAACAACCAGCTAGCTGTTCCCTTGTTCAACCCAAGCCAAATAACTAATCTCCTTCCAGAAGGTAACAACAGTTATGGAACATAAACACTGTATTTGAACCAAATGCCGAAACCCCATCCAGCAAAGCTACTTTTCCTGGCAAAAGTTACAACCATAACCCAACTCTTAAGAGGTAACCAAGTGTTTCTTTTCTAACACTACATTTGGATTGGGAAAAAAAGGTTTCTTTTGTCCCCTTCAGGCGATCAAGAAATAAAGATATGGTTAATATATTTAAGAAATTACATGTTTACAAAACAGTCTCAACTCATAATATTTCATTCTATCCGGAATGATTGGGTTCTTCTTTTGTTTGGTTTCCACAATAGATTAAAAAGGAAAATAAAGAGAAAATTCTTTCACCTATGCCCACAAACTGTTTTCCTTGAGTTCGTTTATTCCTGCCACATATTTTCCACTTGAATTTATTTCTTCCTATCTCTTTACATTTTGGGAAAATGGGAGTTTCAATTTCATGAGTTAAGGATTTGGCTAGTTCTCCCATCAAAATAATAAAATACTTAAACGGGGCATACCTGTAAAGCTTTTTGATGAAAACATTGTGGAGCTCTCGTTTCATGTGGTTTACCTGGGAAGTTGATCAATCATGGATATAAAACTGTAAGCATATGTTGAAATTTTTTGTACTAGAAAAAAGCATAGCAAATTCGTGAAATATTAATGACAATATCACATGCAGAAATACCCCACAAAAGAAATGAAGGGGAGACAGGCTGGAATGAAAGTTACACAAACTTCAACGTGTTGTATAGGAGGTTGTTTCCCAAATTTAAGGCTGCCAACGCTATATAAAGGTCTTTGAGATCAAGATGTGGATAAGTAATCAAAAGTATACAATCTACTAACAAGTACCAATAAAAAACATGTTAAAAAAACTCAACACGATAATCTGACGAATGCATAACTTCTTCATAACTATGACTCGCATAATGAACTATTGAAAAGTTTGCAACCCGAGAGTAAAATTCAAGGCATTTACTATTGAAGCAACAGAAAAACATAATGACATAATTTATGGAACTGATAGCCAATTACCAGAAAATGCATAATTGCTTTAGGTACAGAATCCTCCATGTTCTTCCGAACAATGTCATAATATGACCTTAATAATAACTTCGTAATGGCAATCTCAATGGCCTCATGATCATTGGTCTCTGAGGGCCTCAGGAAGCTTGGGGGCTTCAACAAGAATAACACGAAAACAGCTTAGGACAATGTGCAAGGCAGATTTCAAGTTTGAAACATAAGTAATCAAAGATAATGGAGAGTAATCCATGTCTATACCTCGCTCAAGTGAATCAATGAAACAGAATGCTCCATACTCTGAACAGGTTCACTAACTGGCTCGACATTTGAATTTTCTCTAACAGATGTTCGATTACCAGATCCTCCAAAAATTGATGATATTATCCAAGTTGCAGAAGCACCATTTCCTGGTTAAATCATATATTATGCCAATACTAGACTTCATAATAGTTGTTACCTACTAGTTATTTCAAGAATAACATGGTAAGTTACTTTTCCACAAATACAAGTGGGAGAAAAGGCCATGCCAGATAAAGCATTTGCAGAAGAACCAGTAATATTTACTGACTATTGACTTCATTTTATGTAATCATGTTAATAATCACATTAATAACAAATTAGCTGAAGAAGTTCTCACTTCTATCATGAAAAGCAAAGCATTTGGTAGATTCCATATTCCAATTATTATATAAAGACTTAAGAATATTACATTTCTTCTCCACTTAAAAAAAAGAATACCAGATAGGGCAGTTTTCTCAACATCTGTCACATGCCGAACACCCTGTTTTTCATGCAAAGCATGACAGCAAAACAACAAAAACAATTATTCTTTCTAATAATGTCACAAATTCATGTTCTTGGAAATTGAACAACATAACAACTCAACAAGATGTGTGATGTAGTGAATAGCCTACCTGCTCAGGAAGATTTCCATTCACAGGCCCTGCAAGAGTAGCACGAGATTTTGCAGTTCTTTCGGAGTTCAGTGATTTCTTTGAATCTCCTGCATCCTTGTTGATAAATGCAAATAAAAAAATAAGGAAAGGATAAAATAAATATAAGCTGAATCTTCTCGTATTATTCGTCCAATTCAAGGGTTATTTATACAAGTACAATCCAATCTATAGAAGGAAAAGGTAAAAGAAAAAATTAATTCCTAGATAGCCAAGGATATAAGCTAGATAAGAATATTTCTATAACCTCCTATTCTAAATCAGATGTTTAAAATGGGAACACATAGAGATGCAAATCAATCACTACAACAAAGCATATATTTACCTTCTGCCTAGAAATTGGGGCAGCAACCCTGGAGGTCATCTGTTGTGCCACCTCTACAGCTTTACTACCACCAATGAAATTTGGGTGGGAAGTATTTATGTAATCCATCTGAAACCAAAACAAGTAGATTCAAGCAATCTACATATGCTCAAGGGAAAAATGACATAAACCAACAATACTGCAAAACAATGGTAAAAATTGAGCCAAATTATAGGCCAAGCTTTAAAAAATTGTACAAAAGATAAACGAAGGACATCGACTCACACAATGAGCCAAAAAATTTGATGAACAAATTTAAATCTATTTTCTTAGTTTTTTTTTCTCGAAATTGTAAAAGATTCAATTCCCCCTTTTGTGCATATCATGTTAGACAATAACAATGAAAATTCAGAAAGGATAAACTGTAATTACAGTTCCAAATTCATACATAAAGCAAGTCATATTTTCTATTTGTCTCTGAATTCTGTAAACATTACCAACAAATTTATTTATATGTTGCTAGCTGCACATGATAAATTTCAGCTAATATGATCCGGATTAGGCCTTTACGATACAAAAGCTCTACAGAAAAGAATATAACAGACTCTGGAAGCCCAATCAACGCGTTGTTTCTCAATTATACATGTATTAGCAGTCTAAAAACTAATCAAATTCAGGCTCCACACCAATAAAAGGTTAAAAATTATGAAGGAATAAAAGGCCCTGATCCTTTGTCATGTATAATGTCAATACATTTGAAACTTGTGGACAGTGCTGCAAAAATATTGTATCCAAAATGAAAAAGAAAAAAAATAACAATGCAATGGCATTAACAAAGTTCCAAAATACGATAGCTAAGAAAGAAACCTAGAACTTACGTTTGACAAAGCTTTTGATAAAAGTTTTAACATATTTTGATAAAAATTGATAAAATGTGTAGTTGAAAAGTTGATGAAAGTTGTGAGTTCCGTGAAATGTGTGGTAAAAATTAATTATTCTTGACCTTGATCTCAACTTTTTAGCAATTAAGGTAATCCCAATCAAGCACTAGATATCTTAAAGAACTCCAGAAACTAGAAAGTTTCGTTTATTATGAAGAGAAATCTCAAAAACAAGCAGGCAGGAAATAATTTATGACAACTATTCCTTAACTTTGAATGTCACTCTGTTCTCGAATCTTTTCGGATTGAGTACAGGATCTCGATATTGAGAAACGTGTGTTTGAGACTGCTTGCAAATTGCGTATCTATGGATAAGAACGTTGATGTTGACTCTGCTCTCATTATGTAAATGGTCTCACTTTAGTCAACATAATAATAAAGATTTACTTGTTGGAAAAAGTAGCCTAAAATACATACATTATTGTGAAATAATAGCAAAATGTGAGACGATGTGAGGCAAGAAATGAATGGGGGACACTGATAGATCCGTTGCATATTTGAAACACAAACCTATTTGCGAGGGCAAAAAATGTGCACACGAAGAAGACTGCTTAAGATTGAAGGAGGGTGGGGTGGGGGTGAAGGCTATAGTTTCCAGAAATCATCAAAAGAATTACAGGAATCATAGAATCACCAAAATGATTGGAAATGGACTCATCTAACTATGAAACTCAAAAGGAAAAGTGAATCCACAATCCACATTGATCCTATCACTTATAGATCTATTTGATATTGGAGCAATATTAAACATGAGAAGCTACATGGAAAATTTGATTATCTGTGCACAAGTATACCTCCATTTCAATAATGTGTCTTATCATTGTCTCTGATGGCTCAAGGCTTTCTTGTAAACAGTTTCCTATAACCTCATCCATGCGCTTTCTTAGGACAGGAAACCTCTGCAATTCATTCAACATACAACGATGGCTCATCTGAAAGAAATCATTCAGGTTAATGTCCTGACACTAAGATGTAATGCACCCATGAGATTCTAGAAATTTGTCAAAAAAACAAGTACCTTTACTAGCTCATCATAAATAAACCGAGCACATTGAAGACTCGGATCCAACAAACGAGCTATTTGTCTTCTAACAAGAACTTCAAATGGAACCTGCATGTTTAGTTTTGGATTCACTTTCATGCTAACTGTGCCTGGAAGGCCAAAATACTAAAGGATAAATCATTCAGATTATTTTAAAGATCAAAGATTACATAGCAAAACGAGAACATACATATGGTACAAACAATGCAGATTTAAGACCAGTTGCATTTTGGATGGCAGTATGGATGTCATCATCAGTTAAACCCTCACATGGATCTACCTCCTGCATATATAATTCATATTTGGTAAAACTTAATATTTATCAATGTTGTATAGCTAAGACTGAAAAGCACAGGCAAACAAGAGAAAGAAGAAGAGAAGAAGAAACAACTATCTTGCCAAGATATTATTCTGTTTCCTGCAAAATAAAGTCCCCTAGATCACCTTTTTACTTCTATCTGTACATGTATCCTCATTTCTTCAGGGAAGAACACTATCTCCATTTTAGTAGAAGTTGAATAAAAACGATGTATGGAGTATTGAAAGGTTACTTGACCAAGAAGGACAAAAGGCAGAAAAGTAAAATAAAAAACTCAAATCACTTACGTTTGAATATCTGTTTGGAAAAATCTAAGATTTCATGATAAATGTCCTGAACATTCACATCAATGATACATACCTCCAAGCTCTTCACGAATATATTTTGGAAAATGTAGTGGATTCTTGCTCCACCAGACAGTTCTGAAGTTGACATTTCTTCATCTTTTCCTTCTATCAACGAAGAGAATGCTGTTTCCAACAAAGAAAACCGAAACGCCATTATTAAGGCCTGGCGTTGACTAAAATCCTTTAGAGGGATGTGGTATCCAGTGAATGTGCATTGGAAACTTCAGCAACGAATCAATCAAATAAGAAATACATTTAATTGGAACCATAATATTCTCAGGGAGGGAGGGAGGGAGAGAGAATGAGGTCATATACCTTCGGAGTATTTTGAAAGAATGTTCAGTAGCAATGCTCCCTGACCAGCCTGTGCATCACAAAATGTAAGAGAGATCAATAATCAAGATTCAAAATAGTTCTTTGTGGGACCAGATCATTATATGAATTGCTGGCATTTGCAATTGTTAATATTTGTATATTTTGGGAAATGAATTGATTTGGAAGGAAAAGGTATAGTGAGAGTTATGAACTAGTTATCGCCCTCATGGACTGTCCCTGTAAAAAAGGTTCTTCATTTTGAAAATGCCGAACACAAAGGATTGAACCAAATAAATGAGGTTATCTGCTATTATATGAATTCCAGAATAATATCATCCGTCAAGATATTAGAACAAACTTTTGATTCAGAAATCTCTCCATAGCTAGCATGCTCCTTTGCAACAGAAACCAGTTCAGCACTAATTCGTGACTTCAATACAGGAAGAACTGTCTTGATGTGTCGTATCAGAATCTGCAGAACAAGCAGCAAACTTCAGTTTTTGTTTGTCACATTTGTCTGATGAAGCATAATATTGACAGAAAGAATAATGAGGGAAAGCTTGTATCCCATTACCTCACAAACTAACAAAATAATAATAAAAAATTAAATGCTTGTGAAAATGAAGCACAGCAGCAGTGACCACAAGCAAGTAAAAATCACTTTACATCACAACAAAGTTTTGTTGCATTGAGATGTTACCGAGAGCAACTTATACAGCAAATTGGGTATAAAAGACCTGAGTCCAAGACTGCATTCTACTGCTCGTATACACACCTCCAAGGCATATATATGCATGTGAGTGTACCATGCAGCCAAAGATATGCACATGAACAGAATGGTATCTGGGTGTGTGGGAGTGTGGGAGTAGTTAGGCAAAATATGCAATAGTGGCATGCATGTGATGTGTCAAACAATGGCCATGTAGTTTTGAAGATATGTTACAAGAAAATAATTGCAACTTGGTCTCAAAATATCTACCTGGTTTAACTTCTTTGCCAACTGAGGAACTCCACAACGATCTGCAAGATCCCGATATGCCTATAAAAATGAAATTTAATGACCAGAGTGACGAGCCAAACACAATCAAGATATGAGTTAATAATGAAAATGATTAAGGTCATACCGGATGACTATGAAAGAACTTTTCCTCAGCTATAAGAGCGTCTTTGATACTACGGTTCATCTGAATATCCTGTTTATGGAAGGCACGCCCCAACTAGTAAGAATTTTTTTTTTTTTTTTTTTGAAAGGTAATCAAATATTATATTAATTAAAACTTAATACACAGAAAGTGTATCACCAATACAAATCAGAAAGGAAAATCATGAAATTGGGCAGCCCATCTATATGCCTAGTAGCCGCAGCATTAAACCAAGTATACAATGTCAAATAAAATAACTCCCTAAACTGCTCTGTTCTCCGTATTTGGTCTTCAAAACATCGTCCATTTCTTTCTCTCCACATACACCACACAATGCATCCCGGAATAAGGTCCCAAACAAGTTTGTTTTCCTTATCTCGAAACTTTCTCCTCCATGTCTTTAACATGTCCTTCATACGCCTCGGTATCACCCAATCCATATGTTGCGACACCAAAATATAGTTCCACAACAAACGAGCAGCATTACAATGAAAAATTAAGTGATCAATTGTCTCCCCATCCCTCCCACACATATAACACCACTCTGTAACATAAAAACCCCTTATACGAAGGTTATCAATTGTTAACACCTGTCCTCTGACCACTGTCCATAATAAAAATGCCACTCGTGGAGGCAGTTTACAATTCCATACCATCTTCTAGGAGAATAAACTCTCTTCAACTCCTGATAGAGATCTAAAGTAGGTGCGAACTGAAAAAATATCATCTCGTGTCAATCTCAACCTGCTACTATCATCATCTCTTGTCCCGATATGTGTCACATATAAATATATCAGAAACAACGCATAATCATCCCGTTCTCAGTCCTGCAGACCCCGACCAAAAATAATGTTCCAACTGGAGCTCCCATTATGAATATCTAATGCATCATTCACCATGGCAGACGGCTCCAACGCAATACGATACAAAAAAGGAAATTTCACCTTAAGCAGTTGATCTCCACACCAACAGTCATCCCAAAAGCTGATTGTATTACCATTCCCCACAGCATATGTCAACCTATCCCTAAAGTCGTTCCACCCTCGCCGAATATACCGCCACAAACCCACCCCATAAGGACCACGTCTCTCACCTGAGCACCATCCCCCCTCCATAACACCATATTTTGCCCGTATAATAATTCTCTAAAAGCTCTCCCTCTCCATTCCAAATCGCCACAACCACTTACTCAATAAGGCCTTATTAAATAGTACAAGACTTCTCGATCCAAGACCACCGAATCTAATAGGAGAACGAACCGCATGCCAATTAACTAAATGCAATTTCCTCTCCTCTCCTAATCCTCCCCAAAGAAACTCCGTTTGGATCCTCTCCAATCTTTTTGCCACTGCACAGGAATAGGAAACGGTGACAAGAAATAAGTAGTAAGATTCGACAGAGTGGACTTTATGAGAGTAAGACGGTCTCCCTTCGAAAGGTACATACGCTTCCACCCTGCTAACCTCTTCTCTACCCTTTCCACAATATCATTCCAAATCTGTGTGCTCTTAAACCGTGCACCTAGAGAGAGCCCGATATATGACGTAGGCAATTGTGCCACCCTACAATCCAATATCTCAGCTAACTCTTCCACGTTGTCGACATCTCCCACTGTGATAGCCTCAAATTTTCCCAAATTTATTTTCAATCCAGAGACGGCTTCAAAGCATAGGAGTAAACGACGCAGGTTCCTCAATTGCTCAACATCCGCATCACAGAAAATCAGCGAATCATCTGCAAATAGCAAATGAGAGACTTGGAACTGCTCGACAACAAAACCCCTTATCAAATTTTGCCATACAGCATTCTCAAGCATCCTACTAAAAGCTTCCATAACAATGACAAACAGCAATGGAGACATAGGATCCCCTTGTCTCAATCCTCTACTACTGCGAAAGTAGCCCTCCGAGGTGCCATTCACCAAAACTGAGTATGAAACCGTAGAGATACAAAACTGAATCCACCGACACCATTTCTCCCCAAAATCACATTTCATGAGCATATACAACACAAATCCCCAATTAACGTGATCATATGTCTTCTGAATATCAAGTTTACATAACATTCCTGGAGCCCCCAATCGCATTCTTGAGTCAATGCATTCGTTCGGTATAAGTATGGAATCCAAAATATGGCGCCATTTGACGAAGGCATTTTGAAATTTAGACACCACCTTTCCCAACATCTCCTTTAATCTATTCGCCAAAATCTTCGCAATAATCTTGTAAACCTCACTCAATAAGCTAATAGGACGAAAGTCCTTAATATCTGTCGCTCCCGATTTCTTGGGAATGAGCACAATGAATGTACCATTGGCGCTTCGTAGGAATCTTCCACGCTGAAAGAAATAGGTAAGGACATCTACAATGTCTGATCGCACCACCTCCCAACAACCCTTATAGAATGAGAAAGAGAATCCATCGGGTCCTGGAGCCTTATCGTCATTCATGCTGAACACCACCTCCCTAATTCCATCCTCCTCAAACGGTCTTTCTAACCAACTAGCATCCTCCTCATCAATAGTAGAAAAGTCTAGCCCCTCCAATTCTGGCTTCCAACCCAACTACTCACTATACAGGGACTGATAAAAACATACCATATGGGTCCCGATATCATGCGGATCCTCATAAGTCTCCAACGTAGTGATTAAATTGTTGCGCCTATTGGAGTTAGCCACCTTATGGAAAAATTGGGTGCATCTGTCTCCCTCTTTCAACCACTTGACCCTAAACTTCTGATGCCAAGCAATCTCCTCCATCTCCACCAGCCTCTCCAACTCTTCCCTTAATTCTCCACGTCAAGCTCTATCATCTCCTTCCAATCCATTATTATCCTCCAACCTATCAAGTTCCTCAATATCTGAAAGGCATTGATTTTTGCGAAAAGTGACATCTCCCACCACCTCCTCGCTCCACCTCTTAAGATCATGTTTCAATGCCTTCAATTTCCGATCTAATACATAACTAGGAGACCCCCTGAAGTCATAGGATGCCCACCAATTCCGTACTCGTTCTTCAAAACCTTCTACTTTTAGCCACATCCTCTCAAACCTAAAAGGCCTTCTACCACTGCGCCTTATGTTCCCAGATAGTAAAATGGGGAAATGATTAGAATACAACCTCCAGTCTCCTTTGCGTGACCTCTAGATACTTAGCCTCCCACTCCCCACACACCAAAAATCGATCTATTCGGGATAGAACATGTTGGTCTCGATTAGATGACCAAGTAAAATCTCCCCCGATCAAAGGCAAATCCACCAACATGTTCTCCCTAATAAAGTCTGAAAAGTCCTTCATAGCCCCTGTTAATCTCCCCCCACTAGACCTCTCATTGGGAAATCGAACTACATTAAAATCTCATCCAATACACGTTGGGAGGTTCCACAAATTCATCATCCCAGCCAACTCATCCCACAAACCACCTCTACTCTCATCAGCATTAGGTCCATAAACTCCTGTAAACATCCAACGAAAGCTCTACAATATTTCTAAATGAAAGCGATAAGAGAAAATAGCCCTTCACTAACCTCCTCCAAATCACAAACTCTATTATCCCACATTACTAACATTCCTCGTGAAGCCTCTGATGACCCTACAAACTGATACCCCACATGCTGACCCCCCATAGACTGCGCACAACAGCCCTCGAAACGACCTCCAGCTTTGTTTCTTGTAGGCATACAATGTCAGCCCTCCATCCTCTTAATAGATTCCGAACACCTAATCTTTTTCCAGCTTCATTAAGCCCCCTCACATTCCAACTAATTATTTTTGGAGTCATCTAAACACCTCATCATCCGTCCCCATATGGCCTCTCCTTGACTCTCCACCCTTGAGATCATAATTAACCGAGCATTCAAGACGCTTAAGTTCACGATCACCTTTTCTTCTTGTCTTACCTCCTGATGTACCCAGCCCATGTCCTCTATTGACCTCTAGGTCCTCGAATAATTGTACAAGCCTAGGTTCATGCCCATCACATGACACAACTACCATCTTACTGAACTCCAAAATTTTTTGAAGGACCCAACTCGACGGTCGAGGTCTAACGTCAGATCCTCTAATCTTCGCCATACCCTCAACATACATGGGATCAAAGTAGCATCCCTCCTCGTCCTCCACCCGAATCACATCACCGTATGTATCCCCTTTCTCGGCTCCTCCAAACCACACCACCAAAGCATTATCATTCCCTAGATTCCCTTCATTTGGAGACTTAGAAAATCTCCTACAATAGGTATTCACCACCCTAGTTGCTGAGTCTATTTGCCCTTGCCGTTTCTCAGTAATCAAAGCTGAGCTATCACCCACCATAGTTCCGTTTTCATGCTCACTATCCAACAATGAACCCTTTACAGAGGGAATCATGTCGCCCACCCTCATTTGTAGGACAATTGATCGCTTCCAACAACTTCTAGTTCAGAATCGTAGTACCCGACTCCCTTACCTCGCCCCGAGGTTCCGTTTCTCGAGACGCCTTGATCATTGAATCCCTGACATCCCTATCTGCTTCCTCCGTCTCGACCCTACTTCCATCACCAAAAGAATTTACCACTGCAGTTCGCGTCTAAAATTCGCCTGGAAGCTCATCCAAGCCCACCCCACACCTATGACAATAAGTGTTCCTTGGGCCCACTATAGACCCTTTTATCCACCACCTTGATCAAGTCATCCAATTCCCTTTTCAACGCCTGAATGCGAGCCCGCAATTCTGCATTAGGGTTAATCCCCTCATTCTCCGCCCCTACCTTACACAACAATTCCCGCTGATCAGCCTTTTTCGGTGTCCCAATGTTCGCCGTCACATCGGCGTAAGTCACCCCTGATCGCCTCTTATCATCAGCTATTCGACGTTTTTCCATATCTCTGGAAACGAGTGAATCAACAACTGCTCAAAATAACCAATAACCACTGCAACCAAATATTATACATAAACATTAGTTTTCTAGTCAATTATGATTTTTAAAGTTGTAAATTTCCCCAATGCCATTGAACATGTCCCCTTGGGTTCCTAAACATCTTTGCGACCTCACATCATTTTCCTACAATTGATCTGAGCATATATTTCTCAAGCAGGAACTAGAAAATAACAAAATTGAAAAAAATGGTACATAAAATTCTTGGCAAGGCAAAACATTAACCTCCTTTTAATTTATATATATTTCTAAACAGTGAATCTCAATCACAACAAACAACTGGATTTTAGGTACATAAACAGGATAGCTAAACAAAGATATGCCATGGAATTAACTAGAAGATAGGCAGCTGGGACAAATAACTTGAACTTCTCCCTATTTTTTTATTGCATAAATAAATTTACCCTGGAAATTTATCTGACTATAATTTATTGTCATTGATCTCGCAAACTGGAGTAATGATATTTTAATATAATAGTACAAAAGTTATCAGATTTCATGGAGCGCAGAGAATTTTCATTTCTTATCGATTCTCTTTCCTGTTTTTGTTTGGGAATGTGAAAGGGATAAAAAGATAACTGGATTTCAGATTTCTCCAAGTACCAAATAAAGTCTAGTTCCTCAAGCTCTCACTGTACAGCAGTGCTAATCTCAAATTTGGATTAAATTTGAGCCTGACCTTTTCATTATTTACAAACATGCAGCTGTTAAATGTCAACTCTTGCTCCAACTAAAGTTCAGAGGACGTCATCATCTATCCAGCATCTAACAAGCATCTACTTGAACACATATTTGTAGCCTCAGCAAATGCTAAATTCCATCAAAATTGTTGAAACATTGACATCGTCACCAATTTAGCATCTTACAGCTCATTTGCTTGACTATATTTGTAGTTTGAATGCAGATCTACATTGAAATCGGCAAAACATCCAGAATAAAACATAGAATGAAACAATTTTCTTCATATAATGGTGATATAATCGTTATTGATTGCTCACCTTATTTAGATTAGGAAACTTTTCCTTTTCTTAGATTAGGAATTATTATAAATTGGATTCCGTTGTATTGTAACAAGAGAGATGTATTTTCATAAAATAAACTTGGGAGGGACAGGGAGCTTCACGGGAGTATTGTGTTCTGTTATTCTATTTCATTAAAACCAACATGCTGGCACCAAAACAAGCAAAATTTGAAAGATAACATAACCGGACAGATAAGTCTCAATTCTCGGGTAATCAAGAAAAAGTAAATGCACTGAGATGTAGATCACTTCAAAATAGAGAGACACAAAAAAATGAGAAGATAGTTGACAATCTTATTTGAGAAAGGCAAACACATCATATATAATGTGTTGCAAAGGAGAAGATAATTTCACATTCTCATATTGCCATCTCTATTACCTCATCATTTGACTGTGTATAAATAGAAAGACACAAAAAATGCACTTTCACACTGCCGTTTTATAATCTACAGATAAAGCAGGTGTCTAATGAACCAAATCAACCAGAAAGAGCACAATAAAACAGCTACCATTTTTTATATCACTCATACGGACATCATTAGTATAAAATTCCAAAATTGCAAATGAAAAGTTGGAGAGAATGGCAGTAATAAATGTAATAACTTTCAAACCAATTTAGTTTAGAAAGTATGACCACCAATTTGACAAGATATAATAACATGTAACTCGCATCAATATCCCATCAGTCTGAAGCTGAAAATTACCTCTTGACTACGATTCACAACACCTACATAACCAAGTTGAAGATGAACATCTTTTCCAAGTAGAATTTTGCAAGCATCAGTACCTCTATCCATGATATCCAACTGATGCAGCAACCAAAACAATGCATAGTTATGTTAAAGGGAAAAATAAGAGAGCACCACACACAACTATACTTCTTAACAAACACATTTCACCTTAGTAATTACACCAATTGTTCGAGACCCTGCCAATAGAAAATATTATTCATGAGCTACAGAATCCAAGTGCAATAACATCCTGGTAATACATTCTTTTAGGTAGATGAAGATATTAAGTGCAGAGCCTACCCCCAGGATCAGCAGTTTTAGCCAGTTGAAGAGCATCCGAGTTAGCTAAGTCAGAATTTGCAGGTGTAACAGCTAATATCAAGCAACTTGGAGGTTTAATGTATAAATTTATCATTTTTCTAATACGTGTTTCGATATCAGATGGCTGATCACCAACAGGAACCTTTGTTATGCCAGGCAAATCCACCAGAGTAATATCGAGAACATTTGGTGAGAAAATCTTCAAACGAATCTGCTTGTCTGAAACGCCTTTGTTTCCTCCAGCTTCTCTCTTTGTTTCAGCCTAATAAAATTGCTGATGATCAGTTATTGAATAGGAAATCTATTAACAAAACCTGAAATCGGTCAGTAGAAAAAGTGACAGCATCTGTAAGAACCAAAGCAACCATTCTCAAATAGTTGACATACAATTCCCTCATTAACACAATAGACCTCTTCACTTATCCAAAGGCATTGAAGCACCATATTAAAGGGGGTTACCCTGTCATAAGGAGTTAAGGTCTAATTTCAAGTGGAAGATATCTGTCACAGCATAGTCAAGAAAATGTCACATGTTAAGATAATCAGAAAACCTTGCAGAGTTCAGAGTACAAGTTCTAATTTGCCAAGATTGCACTTCAAGCTTATCAAAAGGTTAATTTTAGATATCTAAGGAGAACCCTTTTCTTCTTTATATTCATTGATACATTTGCAGGTACAAGAAAAGGGGTCATTCATTCCTAATCAAAAAAATGGTCAGGTTACACATGATGTACAGAAACACCCTAAATAGGATTTTAAAACAAGACCACTCAATCGAAGTTATATAGATCTGCCTTGATCAATCTTAAGATCAAAGAACATGGGTTTTTTTCTGGGAAAAAAAATACTGAATGTTTGCTTTAAAATAATTAGAAAATCGTGTAAAGAAAATGCTTGCATTATGAGAAAGTGACTAATCTTTAACCTTCACACATCAGATTAACCTATCTAGATCAGGATTTCAAGTCTTCAGTTACATAAAAAAATCCAAACAATCATTGTCAAAACCGGGTAATTGTAATTGTTCAAAAATATGTAATCGTAATTTCCCCGGTCCAAGTTTTAAAATCACAACATACTACTAGGAAATATTATTTTCTAAAAAAATAGATAATATATGCATATATGTGGGGTGTGGAAAATCAGAGGCTTAGCAACAACTGTGAACCTCACCTAACACACAAAAATAAAAAGAACTGAAACTTCTGATTTGAAAACACTTGAGTGGAGAGGTAAAGGCTTAGCAGCCACTTTAAACAACCTCCCCCACCCCCCCTCTGCCCTCAAACCCCTCCTGGAAAATGAAAAAAAAATAATGGAGCCCAAGAGATTTAAAAACACTTGTCGTAAAGTAAAGCAATGCTATGATATATTTTGCAGTAAATGTATTAAAATTTTTGAAGATATTATACCTGTCAAAATTTAATAAGAATAAATTTAACTTAAAGAAAAAAGCCCCATGCTAATTGCAACAAGGCAGACGTAACTATGAATATAAACATGTAGATATACACAAAAACAGCAATGATTGCAAAAAGAAGCCAAATTACAAAAAAATAAAAAAGTTCCAACATAAATAATGCATAAAAATTCCATAATTTTTAAACTCATATATAACTTAATACAAGCACAAGCTGATGAAGGCAAAGCATCTACATTTTATTATTGGACCATTCCTGGTTGAACCGGCCAGTCTGATTATTGGTTTTCCAGCTTGAATTGGTCGGTTTGGTTCAATTTTGCGTACATGATTTTTCAAAGTACCACCGCATTACAGAAGCTCCTGAGACTACGGAGAAATGGACTGATGATTTGATGATACACTGACTTAGGTTTCATATGATACAAATTATTGAAATTCTATTTCATTAGTAATAAAACTATCAACCTTGACTACTACAATTCCACATATTATGATAGTATTGGGACACGTCAAGAAGCAAAAAGCAGGCTAAAAGCTAGCATAAAATGTGTAATTATTCTTGAAAACAGCTCGTTGTGGGAAAGGACAGAATCCCCAGGTTTATTGCCAAATTACCCAGTATTTCTAAAATTCACCTGATTCTTTTTTAAGTTTTCATCACACAATTCTTTACTTTTTCTTTAATATCCAACAATAGATGCATAATTGCTTTTCTCAAGTTTCACAATAATGAATTACTAACTTCCAAACACGTGAAGAAGGCGCTAAATGTGAAAATTCATTTCTGCCAAAAATCACCTCAATCTCCTTGCGAATTTCGTCGAAATTCAAGAATTTCTTCCCCGATAAATGCAAGAACTCCCCCCACTCCTCTTCAATCCCATCAGCCCTCCTCTTGGTCTGGACGAGCTGCAGCACTAGTGGACGGCGCGTACATATGTCATTGCCCCGGGGCAAGAAATCACGTCCAACTAGTGCCTCCAAGACGCTGGATTTGCCGCTGCTCTGGCTTCCAATCACCGCCACCTGCGGAAGCTCAATTGTAGATTCTTTCCCGACCTGGGCGAAGATATCTTGCAGCTTGTTCACCGTTGGAATGACCGAGTGACCCAACGCCGCCACTGCGGCGTTAGTAGAAGAAACCACTTGCTCTCCCCTCATATTAATGAATCGATCGTAACAATTAACAAAAAATGGAGGTGACTGAAAAACGAAACCCTGCGCTGATTCGGGATTTTGGGTTTAAGGCGAGCTGGCGGAGGATGGACGCAAACCAGTGTAGTTTGAATTTGTACCGTGAGAGAATCCCGTACCGCGCAAGGAATATAAATTTGGATAAATTACAACGTTGGTCCCAATCCTTGTGTTCATTGACAATATAGGTACTTACCTTTATTTTTCAACAATTTGGTCTTCAAGTTTTCCGAAAATTGCAGCATTACTCCAAACTATCAAGAAAATTGTTAAACTGTTGTAAAAATATAGCCCTGTTGGAAACTGATGTAGGAGAATCCGAATCAGATGATATCAAGTTGTCTAATAGCTCATTGATACTTGATAGCGCTCAAGTACCATGAGTTGGCAGATCATCGTAAAAATTGTAAGTAATCGAAATATTTTTCTAATTGGGACAGTTTTTGGACACGTTTTGGTATCTTAGTCATAACTTTGGGTACGGTTATTAGAATCGTGCTTATGACCCCAATTCGGAAAGCTCTTTTCGACGTGCATGTCGTGGTCACCCAACTTTGTTCGGTGCGCATCGATTTCAAAGGCAAAATACTTCGTTTTCCCTTTCGAATCCCCAATTTTAGTTATTTTTTTCCTTTTTTGGTAGTTTTTCGTTCATTTTTTTAAAATAAATTATGAACTTGATTTGAGCCAGATTTTTGGGATATTATTTATTTTATTACTTACTTTCTTCTGGTATGACTATTGAAATATTTCTATTTTTGGTAAAATTTTTCAATAATTACGATTTTCTAGCTATATAGCCCAGCGTGTGGGCTGTTTTCAAATTGTGAATGAAATAATAAAGAATTCTCTTATTTTTCTTGGCGCTTTCTCTTGTGTTCTTTCCTGTTAATTATCTACTGAAACCAGCATTCAGAATAACCGTTATTTTGTCTGACATCATTTGGTATCAGAGCATCAACATCTTCCTAGAGTGAGATTTCATCAGTCCTACCATAGTTGGTGGTCATGGTCGTCGCGGGCAGGTTCCGAATGAGGAAATCTCACACCGTGATTGTAACGTTCAGGATGTGGTGATTGAGGATTTATAGAGGCAAGTTGTGGAGTTAACTCAGCTTCTAGTGCCACGGGATTTCGGTGATCGTGAACTGGAGGGTCGCGATTCCGATACCAGTTTCGAAAACCCGTATCACAATCATGCTCGAGTCTGGGAACACCGTGGTCGGGAAGATAATCATGTAGACTTCAATTTCAGAGTGGATCTGCTCGAGTTTTCTGGTATGTTACAGGCCGAATGATTTGTTGAATGAAGTTGAACGTATTTTTGAATATAAGGAAGTTCCCGATCGTGTCAATGAAAGATTGGTCGCCATCAAACTCAAGGGCGGAGCGTCTACATGGTAGGAACAGTTAAGGCATTTACAAGATAGGCAAGGCAAGGCCAAGATCACTGATTGGGAGAAGATGAAAGGTCACTTCCTTCCTTTCGGCTACACCCAAACCTTGTTTCAACGGCTTCATTCACTAAGATAAGGCACGAGATCGGTTGATGATTATACGGAGGAGTTCTATCAATTGATAGCTCGAAATGATTTATCTGAGATGGAAGAGCAGATGGTGGTACGGTATTTGGGGGGATTACGATAGCCCCTACAGGATGTTCTCAGTCTTCACTTGCTGTGGACCGTTTCTGAAGCATACCAGTGTACACTTGCTGTGGAAAAGCAACAGAACATGATACTAGTTATCAGAAATGAAGGTAGTCAGCCAATTTGCCCTCAAGCATCCTGCCATGCTCAACACGGTGGCATCCTATTAAGATCGAGTAGTATTAGGTGTTTCGGATGTGGTGAACACGTACATAGAATAACTGATTGTAGAAAACCAACTAGTCAAAAAGGTAAAAATCTCCTGATTGAGGAAGATGTAGTAGACGAAACTGAGAAGGTTGGAGAACCTGTATATGGCGACAATGAAGAGGGAGATATGTTGTATGGAGATGGCCATGAGACTCTAGTCATGCACGAGAGTCTATGGACTCCCAAGGACAACTCAGGGAAGGACTGGTTGAGAACTTACATTTTCCACACAACCTGCACAATTGCAGATAAGGTCCACAAACTGATCATTGACAGTGGTAGTTGAGAGAATGTAGTGTCCAAATAAGCTGTCTAGAAATTGCAGTTGAAGACACATAATCATCCCAGACCATATAAATTGTCGATGTTGAGTAAAGGCAGTGAGGTATCAATCGAAAGGCGATGCCTAGTATCTTTTTCAGTCGGCAGGAAATATTTTGATAATGCTTGGTGTAATGTCGTGTCAATGGACGCTTGTCATTTGTTTTTAGGCCGACTTTGGTAGTACGATCACATTGTTATTAATGATGGGCGAAGAAATACATATTCCCTTAGCATCAAGGGGAAGAAGGTTGTGTTGGAGCCTCGTCGGGAAGAAACCACTCCAGCCCCGGTAGTCAATAATACCAATCTACTTTCTATGTCCAGGTTTTTAGTTGAGATTGAGCGTGAAGATGTAGTCTATGCTCTACTGTCTCGTAGGAGTAGTACGACAGATGGGGATCCAGATTTACTGGCAGAAGTGCAACAACTGCTAACAGAGTTCCTTGACCTGATGCTAGAGGATCTCGTTCCAGGGTTGCCGCCTATGAGGGATATTCAACATCAAATTGCCCTTGTTCCAGGGTCGAGCCTGCCTAATCGACCAGCTTATCGTCTCAGTCCCAAGGAAGCTGAAGNGAAGCTGAAGAGTTACAGAGACAAGTGGTAGAGTTGTTGGAGAGGGGCTACATCTGCGAGAGTATGAGCCCATGCGCACTTTCTGCTCTACTAGTGCCCAAGAAGGATGGTTTTTGGCGTACGTGTGTTGATAGTAGAGCAATCAACAGGATTACAGTAAAGTACAGGTTTCCAATTTTCTGCCTGGATGATATGTTAGATCAGCTATCCGGTTTTAAGGTCTTCTATAAAATTAACCATAAAAGCGGATATCACCAAATTAGAATAAGGCCGAAGATGAGTGGAAGATCATGTATTTTGGACTATCTAATGTACCCAACACCTTTATGAGATTTCTACATTAGATTTTACGGCCTTTCATGAGAAAGTTCGTAGTAGTCTACCTCGACGACATCCTCATTTATAGTCCAATGTGGGCATCACATTTTGATCACCTCTGTGCTGTTATTGTATGTTGAGGACGGGGTCCCTATTCGTTAATCAGAAGAAGTGTTCTTTCTCCACCACTTTTGTAACTTTTCTTGGTTTCGTTGTATCTACTGATGGTGTTCATGTAGATCAATCAAAAATAGATGTAATCTTGGAACGACCCAAGCCAAAGACCTTGCATGATGTTAGAAGTTGCTATAGATTGGTGTCCTTCTACTGCCGGTTCATCAGAAACTTCAACACTTTGATTGTCCCAATCACAGAATACTCAAGGGACGTTATTTCCAATGGTCCGAGGAGGTAGGGGCTTGTTTTCAATTGGTCAAGCAAAGGATGACAAAGGCTTTAGTTTTGGCACTTCCAGACTTTGGAAAGGTGTTTGAGGTAAACTGTGATGCATATGGAGTTGGCATTGATGGTGTTTTGAGTCGGGAGAGGCGCCCATTAGCCTTTTTTAGTGAGAAGCTATCAGGATCAAAGAAGAATTATTCCACCTATGATCTTGAGTTTTATGCCATAGTTCAGTCCCTGAAGCATTAGCGTAATTACTTAATATAGAAGGAGTTCATTCTTATCCCTGATCATGAGGTCCTAAAGTAAATCAATAGTCAACACAACTGAGTAGACGGCATACCAAGTGGGTGGTATACTTACAGAAGTTCACATTTACACAAAGACACCAAGCTGGGAGTCTGAATCATGTTGCAGATGCATTGAGCCGTCGTATATTACTCCTCACCACCATGAGCACCAGAGTAGTAGGATTTGAGGCATTTCCTGATATGTATGTTGGAGACCCTTCATTAGGGAAGATAATTTGAGAGATAACTGACAATCAATGATAAGTGTGTTTTTACACAGATATATAGAACTCTTTGCATTTAATTGAGAATTAAATTGAGTTAATTTCTACGCATAATTGTGTAATTTTGTATGTTTGTAGTATTGATACCCGAATTCGCGAAAAACGGAGTAAAAAGATGAAGAAAGGGACTAAAAGTGTACAAATTGGTGAAGTTAGGGACCAAGTTGCACATGTCACAAAGATGAAGGACCAAATTGAAATGAAAGTGAAATTATGAGGACTAAATTGTACAAGAGCCAAAGTTGATATTTTCTTAT